ATTGGGGTGGGTGTGTCGGAGACAGTGAGATTGGCAAAGGACAAAACAGCATTTAGGGCCGTTGTACATAGGATCCCTATGAGTCGCAGGTGACTCGATGGCATATAACAACAACAACTCAACAGTTTTACCCCTGAAGGAAAACCTATAGTATTTTTTAATTCTGTTGTTATTGAGTTTATTATGACTCACATGGACCCTCTATCAGAGCCAAATTGTGCTCCATAATTGAACTAGAATGCAAAAATTGGGAAAAAATAAAAAGCACTGGTAATTGGAAAATGCAGGCTTGGTGACAAAAATGGGGCTAAAGAATGATAAAATTGTATACAATCAATGATATATTCTTTGCAAGTATCTTTTTTAAAAATACAAACAAACAACATAAACAGTGGTTACAGAAATGGACCTCACCTAATAGACTACACAGGAATTAGATTGGAATGAGACATTGGAGAAGCTCAGTATCAATAGTCAAAATGTGGGCAAGACCGGCTGTGGAATAAACCATCAACTATTCATATGGAAATTCAAATTCAAGGTGAAGAAAATGAAAACAAGTTCATGAGAAATAAAACACAATCTTGAGAATGTCCCAAATGACTTTAAAAAACACTTAAACATAGATTTGATGCACGAAATACTAATGACTTAAGTTAAGACCAGATAAGTTTTGGGATGACATCAAAGATATCATCCATGAAGAAAGCAAAACAGCTGTTACAAAAGATGAATGGATGTCAGAAGACACTCTAAAACTTGCACTATAATGAAAACATGCCAAAACAAAGGGAAGAAATGCTGAAGTAAGAGAGCTGAACAGATGATTTCAAAAGGCAATTCAAAATAGAAAACAAAAAGGGAAGAAAATGCTCAGCATTTCATAAGCTGAAAGAACTGAAAAAGAAATTCAAGTCTCAAGCTACAATACAGAATATGAGCAGAAGCTTGAATGATGCTGGAAGCATCAAAAAGAATAAAAAATATGATTAGGTATTATACATATGAACAAACAAATTTGTCCTGGAGAGGGTGAAGCCAGGCTGCTCCTTGGAGGTAAGGATTCTGAAGCTTCATCAGACATACTCTGGACATGCTGCAAGGAGGGACTGGTCCTTGGAGAGGGGCATCATGTTTGGGAGGGTGGAGGGACGGTGCAGGAGGGGAAGACCCTCGATGAGATGGATCGATTCAGTCACTCGGGTAAAGGTGGTAGGTGTGTCGGAGACAATAAGATTTCAAGGGATAGAGCAGGATTTAGGACTGTTGTACACAAGGTTGCTATGAGTCGCAGGTGACTTGATGGCACATAACAACAGTAACATACTTATGAAAACAGTACAAATAAGAGGTACATTGCAAAGAGGACAATGGGGGGAAAAGATATTTCTATCTGCAATGAACAAATATTTTTTTTTAAAAAGCCAAGTGGGGGAGGGGGAAGCAAAGGAGGGGAGGAAATGTGCAACAATTAATTAATGAAATTAATTAATGAAAATACAACTTTTATGAAAACTATGTTAAAACCACAATTAAATTTAAAAAATATTTTTAAAAGATGGAAAGAATACAGAATCAATCAAAATGATTTTGTTGTCACGGAACCATTTTAACAAGGAACTTTTAATCAAGAATTAATGGTAATTAAGGAAGAAGTTCAAGTGGCACTGAAGGCACTGGCAAAACATAAGGCCCCAAGAATTGATGGTGTACCAACTGAATGAAGTATTTTTAAAAAAAAACACCGGAGCAGCCCTTGATCTGCGCAGTAGCCTGTGCCAAGAAATTTGGAGGAGAGTTACCCTACCAACTGACTGGATGAGATCCATGTTTGTTCTTATTCTTAGGAAAGGTGATAATACAGATTATGGAAATCAACAAACAAGATAATATGCAAAATTAAATCTTGGTAAAGATTATTTTTAAACGGCTGAAACAATACATATACTAGGAACATCCAGAAATTCAACTAGATTCAGAAAAGGCCATGGGAATGGGAGATTGCATTGCTGACGTCAGATGGATATTAGCTGAAAGCTGAGAAGATCAGAAAGATGCTGATTTGTTTTTTTACTGACTAGGCAAAAGTATTTGACTATTGTTGTAGTTATGTGCCATCGAGTCATTTGCAACTCATAGTGACTCTATGTACAAGAGCTCTAAACACTGTTCTATCCTGTGCCAACCTAGCCATCTCAAACGCACTTATTCCCACCATTTCAGTTACAGAATCGATTCATCTCATCGAAGATCTTCCTCTCCTTCGCAGCCCCTCCACTCTGCCAAACATGATGTCCCTCTCCAAGGACCAGTCCCTCCTTGCAACATGCCCAAAGTATGTCAGATGGAGCTTTAGAATCCTTGACTCCAAGGAGCATTCTGGCTTTACCTTCTCTAGGACAAACCTGTTTGTTTTCCTAGCAGTCCATGGTATATTCAACACTCTTCTCCAGCACCACTGCTCAAAGGCATCAATTCTCTTTCTATCAACCCTATTCACTGTCCAACTCTCCAATGCATAGCACATAACTGTGAAGACTATAGCCCTGATCAGGCGCACCTTAGTCTCCAGCCTGACGTCATTGCTCTTCATTACTCTTGAGAGGTCCCTCACAGCCGACTTTCCAAATGCAATTCATCTTTTGATTTTCTGGCTGCTGTTACCAAGAGTGTTGATTGTGGAGCAAAGCAAACTAAAACCGTTAACTATCTCAATCCATACTGATGCTGCCAATTGGCCCAGTGGTGAGAATGTTTGTTTTCTTGATGTTGAGCTTCAATCCATATAGGAGGCTGCAGTCCTTGACCTTCTGCAGCAAGCACTTCAGGTCGTCCTAAGTTTCAGCAAGCAGGGTTCTGTCATCTGCATAACGCAGGTTGTTGATGACTCTTCCACCAATCCTGATGCCACATTCCTCTTTTACAGCCCAGGGTCTCAGATGATCTGTTCTGCATACAGATTGAAAAGGTATGGAGACAGAATACATCCGTGACGGACCCCCTTCTTGATTTTAAACCATGTAGTGTCTCCTTACTCTGTTCTGACAACTGCCTCTTGGTCCAAGTACAGGTTTCACATTAGCACAATCAAATGTTCTGGGATTCCCATTCTTCTCAGAGTCAGCCACAGCTTGTTATGATCCACATAGTCAAAAACCTTTGCAGAGTCAATGAAGCACAGATAGATATTCTTCTGGTATACTTTGCTTTCTGCCAAGATCCATATGGACCATAAAAAAAAATTACTGATTCCATGGGATCACATAATTGTACTCCTGAAAAACCTATACATAGATCAAGAGGCAGCTGTCTGAACAGAACAAAGAACAGTGCGTGGTGTAAAATCAGGAAAAGTATATATCAGGGTTCTATCCTCTCTACGTATCTATTCAATCTGTGTGCTAAGCAAATCATTCGAGAAGCCAGATTATATGAAGAATGTGGTGTCAGGATTGACAGAAGACTCATCAAAAACCTGAATTATACGGATACACAATCCTCCTTGCAGAGTGAAGACATGCAGTACTTACTTGACATAGTGACTATAACAATGGACTTGAGCATATAGGAGATCATCAGAATGGCACAAGATAGAGCAAGGTTCAAGTCTGTTATTTGATGGGTTGCTTGAGTCCTAATTAGTGCGATAGCTGGTAACAACAACAATCATATTCAGAACTTTTCTGCCATCAAAGAGCCATGGTCGCAGGAAGATCAAACATCTAGTCCTCAAGTTTCAACTCTAGTATGAAGAGTGACTTGGTGATAACTAAGGTATGAAACAAATTTAATTCCTTGTCTATTTTTGAAAAGTTCATTCCTTTATTAATGTTTTCCAAACTAGTTTTTATTGTTAATAATGCAATGCATTAGTTTTATCTTAATAATATAATTAAATAAATCTTACCCATAATCATACCACACAGAGATAACTGCAAAACCTCATAAAAGATGAGTTTATATGTAGTGTTTTTTGTAGTTTGTTTTCATTTAACACAGTTTCAAACTTCTTGCTATGCCATTAAATGTTCTTGCATAACATTGATTTTTTTTCTTTTTAATGGGTATAGAGAACGGATAGACATTTTAAAACCACCCAGGGATTTTCTTTGCCAAGCATACTCTGCCTGTCTTTTCAGATACATCCCTGGGTATATGCCATCCTCTCTCCCCAAGAAAAGAGTCTTTGTTGACATTAACTATTATTTCTCTCAGGAGTATTACTAAGAACATCTTCCCTTCAAAATTATTTTAATGGTCACTGATTTGGAACATGTTATCATTTCTTTACCTATCTGCATAAATGGGCATCTGAGATATTTTCACACTATCGTTAACTTTGAACTGAACATCTGTGTAGCTCTATCTTTGAGTATATTTACAATTAAATCTTTGATACTTGAGGAGTATCCAAATTACTAACGAGTAATCATATCAATGTGAAGACTAAGGTGTGTCTGACTCAGGCCACAGTCTTTCTGATCACTTGTTATACATCTGAGAGCTGGATAACGAATAAGGATGACACAGAAGAATCGATGCCTTTGAACCGTGGTGTTGGAGAAGAGCACTGAACATCCATCCCATCCATGGACGGCCAAAGGAACAAGTCGATATGTCTTGGAGAGGGTGCAGCCTAAGTGCTCTTTGGAAGCTTCACCTCACATACTTTGGGCATGTTGCTAGGAGGGATATTCCTTGGAGAAGGATATGATGCTGGGAAGGGTGGATGGTCACTGAAGAAGAGGAAGACCTTCACTCAAGTGGACTGATAAGGTGACTACTGCAATGGGCTCTTGTGTGTCACAAAGTGTAAAGATGGCACAGATAGAACAGGGTTCAGATCTTTTGCTCACAGGGTAGCTATGCGTCGTACTTAACAACAACATGAGGAGTTTCCAGTCGCAAAGTCCAACTCTGTTACAATGAAATCCTCTCAATACGTGTACCTGACATAAAAAACCAAGGGGGAATTTCAATGGGGAAATGTGGTTACTTACCAGCATCTTTGATCCAATTGTCATAGAGACGCACAGTTCTCGATGTAAGATCACTAAAGGCCATTTTCCACAGGTTTACAGTCTCTTATAATGAGTTCTTCAGTAGAAGCTGGGGGGAAAAAGAAAAGAGGGAAATGCTTTTATGATCTATAAATGCAAACAAAGCCAAGTTCCTAAGTAATACAATATTAAAAATACTAAAACTTTAATAGGAATAACTGGCAAAACAACACATTTTACTGAAGGAAAATGCATTAGTACACCACATTAAACCACAATACAGTTGCAAATGTTTCAGATTTTCTATTATTCTAGGGACAAAATTTTCACCAAGAAGGCTTTAATTCTATCTAGCAGGTAAAAAAGGAGTAACCATTTTATACACAAAACTTTTACCGGAGCATTTTTTATGACACCTGCACAGATAAGGAATAGACTGCACCTACAATGAGGTATTGAATATCCCATGCTGGTGAAGAGGACTCAATTCTGCATGGGCTGCTAAAAGATCAAGCACATCTGTCTTGCAAGGAATGTATACCAACATGCTCCTTAAAAGGCAAAGATGGTGAAATTAGTTGACATACTTTGGGCATATTGTCAGGAGGAAGTAGTCCCTGGAAAAAAGATATGCTGGGAAAAGTGGAGGTTCAGAGAAAGAGAGGAAGACTTTCAAGAAGATGACTCCACACAGTGACTACAACAAGGGGCTCTAGCATGGTGGAGATTGTGAAGCTGGGCCAGGAGCAGGTAAGGCTTTGATCTGTAGTTCATAGGGTCACAATGAGTCACAGTTAGCTCAATGGCACTTAACAAGAACAATCTAGGTAGAGTAGAGAAGGTACAGTAGGGTAGAGAATGTGTTGCACTGCTAACTAAAAGGTCAGTGTTTCAAATATACAAGTTGGTCCATGAGAGAAAGAGAGGTAGTCCCTTCCTTAAAGATATAGAGTTTGGAAACATGATGGGAGGTCACTGTGAGTTGTAATCTACCCAACAGAAGTAAAATGTCTAAGAACAGAAAGCTGAGAAAGTACACACAATTCTGGGAAGCTACTCTGATCCCACTAGGCTTAAAGGTCATCTTCAGTCTAATCAGGTGGTCCACTTGTAATTTTTATAATTTAAATAGAGGCAGAAAGAGGGAGAGAGAGGATCAGAGAAAGAATCTGTCTATAACTGTGCCTCTATGATCAATTATCTGGACAAATAAATAGTTTATTGAACTGAAGAACAAATTCAAATGTCGGGTTGCTATAATCAAGGATACTTTAGGCAGAGTATTAAATGATCCAGGAGGTATCAAAAGAAGACGGAAAGACTATACTGAGTCATTGTATTGAAAGAAATTAGCAGACACAGAAGAATTTAATGAAACAACATATGAGCAAGAGCCTATGGTGATGAAGGAAGAAGTTCAAGCTGCTTTGAAAGAAATAGCAAAAAATAAGGGCTGAGGAATAGATGGTATACCAATTGACATACTTCAGCTAACATATGCTGCCCTGGACATGCTCACCAAGTTGTGACAAGAAATCTGGAGAACAACCACTTGGCCAATTGACTGGATGAGATTTATATTTGTTCCTATTCCAAAGAAAGGTGACCCAACAGAGTGTGCAAACTATAGAACAGTATTGTGGATTTCACATGCAAGCAAGATTCTGCTGAAGATTATCCAAAAACGACTGGAACAGCACATCAGCAGGGAACTGCCAGAAGTCCAGGCTGGGTTTAGAAGAGCTCGTGGTACTAGGGATACTGTAGCTAATGTAGTTAGATGGATCTTGGCTGAAAGCAGGGAATACCAGAGGAATGTATGTCTGTGTTTCATTGACTATGCAAAGGCATTTGACTGTGTAGATCATAACAAACTATGGCTGACTCTGAGAAGAATGGGAATCCCAGAACACTTGATCGTTCTAATGTGAAACTTATACTTGGACCAGGAGGCAGTCGTCAGAACAGAGCAAAGGAACACTGCATGGTTCAAAATTGGGAAGGGCGTACGCCAGGGATGAGGCCTATCTCCATACCTTTTCAACCTATATGCAGAACAGATTATCTGGGAGGCTGGGCTCTATGAGGAGAAATGTGGGGTCAAGATTGGTGGACGATTTATCAACAACATGCGTTATGCGGATGACACAACCCTGCCTGCTGAAACTGAAGAGGACCTGAAGCGCCTGCTGCAGAGTGTCAAGGACTGCAGCCTACAATATGGATTGAGGCTCATGTCAAGAAGACAAAGATTCTCACCACTGGACCAATTGGCAGCATCAGGATAGATGGTGAAGAGATTGAGATTGTACACAGCTTTAGTTTGCTTGGCTCCATAGTCAACAGTCTTGGCACCAGCAGCCAGGAAATTAAAAAATGTATTGCGATGGGAAAGTCTGCTGTTAGGGACCTCTCTAAAGTACTGAAGGGCAACGGTGTGTCTCTGGAGACTAAGGTGCGTCTGGTACAGGCCATGGTCTTTGCAATCACTTGCTATGCGTCAGAGAGCTGGACAATGACCAGGGAGGATAGAAGGAGAACTTATGCTTTTGAGCTTTGGTGTTGGAGAAGAGTGCTGAGAGTGCCATGGACTGCTAAGAAAACAAACAGATTCATTAGGTATTATAAATATGAACAAACAAATTTGTCCTGGAGAGGGTAAAGCCATGCTGCACCTTGGACGTAAGGATTCTGAAGTTTCGTCCGACATACTCTGGACATATTGCAAGGAGAGCCTGCTCCTTGGAGAGGGACATCATGCTTGGGAGAGTGGAGGGGAGGCACAGGAGAGGAAGGCCCTCTGGGAGGGGGATTGATTTGGTGACTGGGGCAATTGGGATGAGTGTGTCGGAGACAGTGAGATTGGCACAGGACAGAGCAGAGTTTAGAGCTGTTGTAGGTAGGGTCGCTTATGAGTCACAAACGACTCGACGACACATAACAACAACAACATTACATATTCAAATGTTTATAAAAAACAACAGCAACAAGAAAAAACAAACAAAATAAGAAACATCAAACTCATTGCCACTGAGTTGGAATCTATTCATAGCTGACCCTCCACTGGGTTTCTGAGAATGTACAGAAAAGACAACCCATCTTTGTTCCATGGAGTCCCTGGTGGATTCAAAGTGTTTGAGAGGTACAGCCTCTGGGTTAGCAATTCACCTCCTTATGGATGATGACACTCGGTCACATGACACTGGCACAACAAGCAACTCAATGGAATAGAACAAAAAGTCCAAAAACACACCTATTACCAAATACACTTTCAAATACTTTTTCAAGATATATGCAAAACAGATCATTTGGGAAGCAGGGATTTATGAGGAGGAATGTGGCATGAGGATTGGAGGAAGACTCATCAACAACCTACATTATTCAGATGACACAACCTTGCTTGCTGAAATTGAAGAAGACTTGAAGCATTTGCTGCAGAAGGTCAAGGACTGTTGTCTTCAATATGGATTGAAGATCAACATCAAGAAGACAAAGATTCTCACCACTGAGCCAGCGTGCTGAAAAACCAATGATGTCAGTCTAGAGACTAAGGCTAATGAAAGCCATGTTCTTCACAATGACTTGGTATGAATCAGAGAGTTGGACAATGAGTAAGGATGACAGAAGAAGATTTGATGCCTTCAAATAGTGATCTGGAGAAGAGTCTTGAACATACGATCGACTACCAAGAAGACAAATAGATCTGTCTTGGAGAGAGTGAAATCAAGTTTCTCCTTGGAGGCTAGGATTTTGAAGCTCCATCTCACATACTTTGAGCATGTGGCCAGGAGAGACCAGTCCTTGTAGCAGGACATCATAGTTACAAGTGTGGAGGGACAGCTCAGGAAAGGAAGACCCTGTAGGAGATGGATTGATACAGTAACTGGGACAGTGGTGGCTAGTGTGTCAGAGTTAGTTACACTGGCTCAGGAGAGGGCCACATTCAATGGTGCTGTCCACAGAGTCACAATCACAGGTTACTTGATGACACAGAACAACAACAACAAACCAAATACAGATGGGAATTCAAAATCATATTTCAGAAATTCTAAGGAATTATAATATCAACTATATCATAGCACATCTTATAAATGAATAGTGTGCTACTTTAAGTGACAGTGCTTTTTCTTTCTTATGGGACCTGCAATAATGATGTGTCTTATAAGTGGTGGTGTATTTGGTAAAAAGTTAAGCTACATGGTAAAAGCAGCATCTCAAACAAGTGAATAAAGAATTATCAGGAACTGTTGAATAAATCATACTACTTAAGAGTCATCTGCAAAACAAAAAAACAAACTCCCAAAATATCCAATATTATGGAACCATAATATACTTACTGGAGGAGAATAAAAGGAAATTGAGAACATGGGCTTAATGAGAACTTAAAATCCAAAATCATAAAAAAGACTGGCAAATTAAAGTCAGAGGAAAGAAGTGGGGGAAAAAAATCAGGGAAAACTACTTACAAATTGTAAACAAAAGGCTGTCATTGTTAGGGGTGCTGGATGGTGCCCACGTACAATAGGATGAGACACTACTGAATCATAAATTATTCTTACAGTTATTGTTTGCTTGAATCCACTGTTGCAGCTATCTGTTAAGCCATCTGGTGGAGTAGCTTCCTTTTTTTTTCTGCTCTGTTATTTTACCAAGGACTGATCCCTCTTGATAATGTGTCCCAAGTATATGAAGTCTTGCCACTCTCGCTTTCAAGGATCATTCTGGCTCTTCCACTTCCAAAATAGATTTTTCTGGCAGCCCATGTTATAGCCAATATTCTTTGCCAACATAACAATTCAAAGCCATTACTTCTTTTGTCTTCCTTAATCATTGTATAGCTTTCTCACATATACAAAGCAATTAAAACTACAATGACTTTGGCTAGGGGCACCTTAGTTTACCAAAGTGGTCTCTTTGTTTTTTTTTAACATTTTAAATAGGATGCTTGCAGTAGATTTGACCTCTGCAATATGTCTTGATTTCTTGACTGCTGCATCTATGGTCATTGATTATGACTGCAAGTAAAAGTAAATCCTTGGCAACTTTAATCTTTTCTTTCATTATCATAACGTTGTTTAATAAACAGTTGCAAAAATT